TAAGTTGTGTGGTGAAGTATATAAGTTGGTCAAGAAAAAACAGATTAAGTGTAGTTCAAGGGACTTGATTTGAAGATGGAAGGTCAGGAAGAAACCAGATCAGGAAATCCTTAGATAACAAGCTGAATGTGGGCATTTTTCTGGCAAAGACTGACCTTTTTAGGTAGATGGGTAGGTAGGAAAAATACTGGTTCTAAATTAGAATTTAGAATTAAAGGGATGCCACAACAGCTACTTACGGTAGAGGTTTGAAAAATACGAGGTTGTCAGTAGAATCAGGTTGTGAAGAGAAGATGAAGACTGAAAAAGACCTGCACGTGGAAAGAAGAAAAGCCATTGATGCGTTTGTTAGAGCGATTTCAGCTCTGTGTGGAAACCGCCGAGCCCTGTCCTGAAGGAAGGCTCGGGGAGGGGATGACAGCAGCCGTTGTTAACATTTCTCCATCTTAAAATTAACAGCTCGTATCATTCTATTCAAACCTTCAACCAAGTTACAACAAATTACATTTGATTACTTTATAATTATCTAGATGCAATATAATTACATGTGTAGCTATATGTTTATGATGGTTTAGATGTATAGATTACTTATTTATAATTATTAGCATGTTATGTATAGATAATTTTACAGTGTAGTATTGATATACAATATGAGAACATCTTATCCTAAAGATGCTATTTGTTTTATGTAAATTTTTCTTTAAGAAGCTGTTTCGATTATATGTAGTGGTATGGTTATACATTTTAAATGGCTACAAAGATGTATTATTTCTTAGTGTTAGATTACAAAATGTAGACTTCATAGTTTTGGGATTAGATAGATAAGTGTGTTTAATGTTCTTATATCTTACATAAAAATACTCAGAAAGGATTTGAAACTATGCAAAAGTCAATGTCAAATTTCTTAGATTTTGCTTTATTTTCTCTAGTGTTATAAGGATTGATATTGTCTCCCCTCTCCTTTGCATAAATTCAAATAGTAGTTTTGAAATTGAAGTTTATAGCTGGGTAAATTTCACGCTCTTTACATATTAGGCAGTGAATTGGCTTGGGTTTGAACAGAAATTGAGAATTTTTGATGAGTATAAATTTAGGGATCTGGAGGGTTTAAAATACTAATTTTTGAAGGAGGATTGAAAGGAAATCACATAGGTAACCTTTGAAAACAGTCAGCTTTCACCTCCTTGCATTATTGGAGACCATCTCACCCAAGTGGGTTTTATTTCTCAGTCCTGTGAGGAAATAGCCTTTGCCTGTATGTGGAAGGAAGGGTTCAGCACATCTTACTGACATCTAAAAACACCTTTTCTTCTCCACCCTGCAAATGAATAAACTTGGGAGGATCTATATTTTAAACAGATCCTCCTTTCTATTAGGGTGGATAGCCATCAGGTAAGTATAGGTTAGGAGGTCAAGTTGAAGACAGGGCCACAATGGATTCTAAAATTGGCAGGCAGATCTGCAATTAAAATGGCATCTAAATTTTCTTTGTTATGTTGAAACAAAATTGAAAGCAAATAACCCAATAAATCAAGCCTGTGATTATAATCATCACTCAAAATCAGTGAACTGATTGCAAGCCAGAATCTAGTGTTCTTTGCCATAGAGGTTGGGCCTTTTAGTGTTCTGTCATGTGGAATTTGTTAAGTTCTCAGAGTAGTCTAGCAATCCTGAAGCTAGTGGAGAACAGAGAGCTAGCGTTAAGGACATGACGTTCAACAGAGACCACTGAGTTGTGCTGGAGTACCGAGAAGTTATGGGAGCTTCGAGAATAATTGATACCAGAATAGAGTTGAAAACGAGATGCTGAGACTGCTAAGGAGTGGGGACTTGAGAGGGTTGAGGGAGTGTCCAGGGGGAGGAAACATGTATTTGAAGGCACAGAAGCAAGAGAGTATAGCTTGCTAGTGAAAGGGTTAAAACCCTAAGCACTTTCTTCATCAGTGGAAATCCTTTTCAAAGGCAAAGATGGGCATGACAGAGCAGAGGGCTGTACTAGTGGAGTTCAGTGACCTGATCAACTATATAGTTTACAGCCATCAATATTGAATTGTATGGAACAGGTTTCCGGGTGCAAGTGTGAGCAGAGGTTTCAGGAGGAGACTTTTGGAATAGTCTAAGATAGTGATGACCTTTCGTAGGGTGGTGTGAATGAAGAGAAGCAACATGGGGGACTAGAGAGCTATTTCAAGAGTAATTAGTGGCTCTTAATTTCTGACTGGATATCAGTTTAGACAGTCTTTCTCCCAAGGCAGGAGTTTGTTACAATCCCTTCCTTATAAGGTAGGGGCGGAGTTGGAAGAAAGAACATTCATTTTGGGAAACACGGAACCAGAAAGCTGATGTGCTGCTATTACCATAAGCTGTTTTTCAAATTTTACTAGTTAGAAAAATAATGCTTTAGGTTAGCATACAAAGCAATGGGCTTTGTCGTGGCCTCTTCATACTACATGTATGTTTTTATTCTCCATGTGTTCCCCTCCCCCTCTGCCCTCTTCCGTGTCATCCCCCTTAAACCGGTTTCTTTCCCTCCCTACTTTGTCCCATTGTTTGCCTCCTTATTATGTCCCTAAAATCTTCCCTCCCTCTCATGATCTCCTTTCTAGTTGTGTGACCTGTATACACACATATGAATATATGTTCATCTACATGTATGTATATACATGTACATTTTAAATCTAGGCTTATAGGCTTTTTTATGATCTGTAAGCATAGGAGCTTCTTATAAGGAGCTCTTTGTTTTAATTGTTACACTATTTATTGCTTTGCCTGTTCCTTTTTGAAAAGATTTGTTTTATTGTTATTTATGTGTCTGTATATGTATGCACAGAGACCTTTGTGCACCTGTGTGCTGGTTCCCACGGAAGCCAGAAGGGCGTCAGATCCCCTGGAGCTGGAGTTACCATTAGTTGTAAGCTGCTTCGTATGGTTGCTGGGACCCAAGCGCTGGTCCTCTGCGGGAGCAGCAGTCATTCTCAACTGCTGAGCCATCTCTCCATTCCCTCCTTGGCTTTCCTTATAGTGCAGTATCTTATAGGTAGACAGTGTTGGATCTAGAAGGAATTGTGGAAATTATGGTTTCCATCCACGGGTACACTGGTACCCTGCAGCAACAGAAGCAAAGGCCAAGCCTCATGACCAGCGCTTCATCAAGCTTCCCCCAGTACCTAGCCGGCTGCTTCGTTAGGGTTGATTAAAGCAAACACTGCTGCAGACCCTATCAAAGAAAGACAGTACCAAGGGAAGGAAAATCATTGCAGGGCAGTGTGGACTTTCCTGGACTTCCATCCACCTTCCATCTTGAAAGAGAGCGCTAAAAGTCAACATCTGGACTTATGGCTGGGTTTATCACTAATAAACAAATGAACTCATTCTAGGTCACTAGACCTGAGTTTTGCCTCACAGAGGTAACGATAGGACACTAGATTTCTTTAAAATCTGCTCTTTTCTCTGTCTTTATCATTTTATATTTCCTGTCTGTAGTTTTCTTGATGTTCTTTTTTAAAACTACTTCTGTTTCTCTGTGTCATGTGGGAATTTCTTTAAATACCTAAACACTGTCTAGAGAGTGAATAGACTGGGCTTGGGAGTTTGTTATTTTATGAACATATTACCACATTTATGTTCCTTCTTTGAGATTGAGATTACAAAGAGAAGAAAGAACCAGCAAATATTGGGATCTGGAGCGGTGGGAGGTTGCTGTGCTATGGTCTTCCAAGTGGGCGGAGGGTGACCCAAATAATTTATGGAGTTGTGTTTTAGAGAGAAAATGTTAGAACTTCTATTTATTCTTAATTTTTTGGTCTTTTTCTCATAGTCCTCTGGAACTTAGTCGACCTAGGAGGGAAAGGAGCAAAAACTGACCTTTATGTCCCTTTGTCCAAATTAATAGGCCTCATAGTATGGCTGTTAAACATCCAAGAAGGTTAGTTCCACTAGTCTGATGCTTGTAATTACCATATGCCATGTAGTTAAAGCTTGGGCAAAGACCACATGCTCTCAGATAAACCTTGCCTAGGCATATATTATATTCTTTGATCTGGTTGTATGTATAATTTGTCAGTAGGTTGTTGGACTAATATGGTTCCCTCTGGTTTTTTAAAACCAGCTAGGCATTATTTATCTCTCACATTGTCTAACCCTGCTACCATGGTTTCCCCATTTAAGGTGCCCCCATTTTTCTCATTTCTCCCTTAATAATACCCTTCTCCTATGGTCCCACCTCTCTTGAGCTCCTTGAGGCAGGGTCTTCCTGTAGCTCCAGCTGGCCTGGAACTCCCTATGTAGATCAGGCTGGCTTTGAACTCACAGATGTGGACCAGGCTGACCTTGAACTCACAGAGATCCACCAGCCTCTGCCTCCCATGTGCTAGGATGAAAGGCATGCGCTGCCATGCCCAGCTTTATTTTTAATTTCTTTTTTTGCAAACTTCTGCTTTTGATATGTCTTAGTGTATGACCAATCAGTAGGTTTGTATATGCACATACAACTTTAACAATGAGTAGATGTATATGTGTATTGTGGAAATGTATTAAACATATTACGGTGACCGTAAGTAATGGTCAAATATGTTCAGGAAATCCTAGGGAAGAGCTGGGTAATGGTACGTCAACGGTATCAGGGCATCGAGGTAAATATTCCGAATATCATGTCCACAATATTTCATTGTTGTTGATGATGATCATTGGAAATAGAAAAATAGCAACTGGCAACATTTTGGAGCAGAGTTTATTTGAGTGAGATTCTCATTCTTACAGAGTTGATGAGAAGTATCTACTGAATAAGTAATTTTAAGATGACTTTATACTCTTGTCCAAAATTTTGAAAAATTGTTAAGTAACTCATTGGGATTGTCAGGCAAGTCATTCTTATTACTGAAGTTAATTCGGTGTAACTTGATTTACTTAAACTTTTTGACCAATAATTTAATTTCTGTTTTCTTGAGTTTTTTTTTGCCTAATATACATACATATTTTCTTCTGATTATTTTTTTTTATAGAATAAGACCACAACTTGCCAAAGAAAAGATTGAAGGATGCCATATTTGCACGTCAGTCACACCCGGAGAACCGCAAGTCTTCCTAGGAAAGGATAAAGCTTTTACTTTCGATTATGTCTTTGACATCGACTCCCAGCAAGAACAGATCTACACTCAGTGCATTGAAAAGCTCATTGAAGGGTGTTTTGAAGGGTACAATGCCACAGTTTTTGCATACGGACAAGTAAGTTCATACTGTTTTCATGGAAATTGTAATCCAGTTGAACTTCCTTCTATGTCTTCAGGCTGTGTTAATACTGAACAGTCATCTCTTCACTTATCTTTTGCTTAGACTGGAGCTGGAAAAACGTATACAATGGGAACAGGGTTTGACGTTAACGTGGTTGAGGAAGAGCAGGGCATCATTTCTCGTGCTGTTAAACACCTTTTCAAGAGCATTGAAGACAAAAAACACACAGCAATTAAAAATGGACTTCCTCCTCCAGAATTTAAAGTGAACGCCCAGTTCTTAGAGGTAATCAGTTGTCACAATTTCCCTTTAAATTTCATCCATAACACTGAATCTGTATGATTTTATATTGTTGGCTCAAGTACTGTGCTTTGCGTATAGTAATCAACATTGTTTGAGCAAATTAACATTAGTTAGTAGATAATAAATATACCTTTCTTATATATAATAATGTTGGCATTTGGTATTATAAATGTTTGACAGCATCCATGATATGAAAGTGCCTTTAATATTATTTCAGAACCTTTATTAATATAAAGATAACTTACTGTGGTAGTTTAGTTGGGCTTAAAATGTACTGAGAATTTAGCGGTTAAGAGCAAAGAGGAGAGCAGCGATGAACTGGGGCTGTTGCCCTAACACTGCTCTACCTTCAGAGGTAGTGCTGGTGTCTCTGCAGGGTCCAAAGGTTGGAGCAGGTTTGGATTGATTTATGGCAGCCTAGGCTGCTGGGGAGGTTTGTCAGTAGAAGGAAATGTAGTAGTTGAGTCGACTCTGGCATTATAATTCTGAATGAAGGGTTAATTTTGTTAAGAAAGATCCCTTTTGGGGCCAAGAGATGGCTCAGCAGTGATGAGCACTGGCTCCTCCTGCAGAGGACCTGGATTCAATTCCCAGCACCCACATGGCAGCTGACAACCGTCTGTAACTCCAGTTCCAGGAGATTTGATGCCCTCTTCTGATCTCCACAGATGTTGCACACATGTGACACATGTACATGCAGGCAAAACATTCATACACAGAAAATAAAATAAAATAAAATTTAAAAAGCCAAACCAAACCAAAGCAAATGGCATAAACTTTAAAGAAAAAATGTGAAGAATATTTTGATGAATTCTTTATCAATGAACCTAAAGAAGCATCATTAAAAACATCTAGACCTGAAATACAAAGAACAGAAAAAAATTTAATAACCACATGATTAGAAGAAGCATTTAATTACAGCATTAACATATTCAGTAACATTCAGTAACAATTTCCAGAGCAAGGATACATCTCTTTCAAAAGCGGCTGTAAATTTTTAGGTTCACAGTTGAATTAATACAGTTATACAATATTGAACTCAGTATAAACCCTATAAGACATAAAATTGAATGAGTTTTTAACCTTTAAAGATGATCTCCATTTCATTTTAAAATATGCCGTTTCCTACCTTTTTAATGCTACTAATGCTTAGATGTTTGCACATGTGTCTTTAATTTCTATGTATCTGATTATTACCAGTCACAGTCAGTTACACTCAGATCCTTGGCACCTGAGCATGGATATAAAGTCATCAGGTAGATTTCACCTGTGGTTTTTCGCATCTACTATTTAACATGAAGCAAATATTTATGCTTCCTCCTCAAATATAACTCATTTTTTTATTTGTTGATTTTTTTGTGTATTTCATACAGAACATACTGGAGCCCATATACTCTGTCATCCCTGTTACTGTCCACTGTGTTGCTGGTGCCCCCAGCCATTCCCCAGTGCTTCTCCATCCTCTGAATCTAGTCAGCCTATCTAGAGATCTTTGTTTTAGGAAGATCAGCTGTTCCTCATCTAGCAGCAATCAGTTGTCAATATTCCTTTAGATAAGATTGGGGTCTGCTGTTCATTTGCCCAGTTTTATGCTGGGTTACTGTCTGGGAGTCTTTTGGGCCACCTGCCCAATAACTCAAAGGAAGGTGTCTCCTAGCTGGCATTGTTTCTTGTTATGTAGCCTTTAGCTATACATATGGACTCTTAAATAATTATATTGACCACATTAATCTTTGGTTATACTTTCCTTTTGGGTGTTTAAGACCCTACAATTGGCCCAGATAAACCAATTTATTTTTACTCTTAAGGTCATTTGAGGATCTGTTCCTCAGGGATCACATGGGCTTGGAAGGAGCCCCTGGCTCCTTTCTTTTACCAGTTCCGTCTATGTAAAGAAAAGGTCCTGCTTGACCATGTCTTGCTTTGCTTGGAAGCATTGGAGAAATGTTTCCTCTGTGTTGACCCTCCTCTTTGTAGACTGGACACTGGTTCATGTCCATCTCGTGGGGTCTCCATGACCTCCTTGCTGAAGAGAACAGATGACTCACCACAGTTACAGGACATTTTGAGAGATG